ACATTTTTTGGTACTGTTTACCCTTTACTGTCCCAATCATCCGAAATGAAGCTAGTTATTGACCTACTCCGTGGACAGATTCGGCTCCTGCTTAACTCGAAACCTGCTGACGCCTGCGCCGCATTCGCCGGTGATTTAGAGTATCCTGATGTCAGCGCCTGTGGCGCGCGCCGGGAGGTTTTGGGCCAAGCGCATGTGATATTCGTGTTCAAAAGTCAAACCACCCCTTGACACAAATTTTTAGCCAATTGTGTCCGAGGAAAAAAAGCGGTTAAAAACTGGCCTGATTTCGAATGATTGGGGGCAATAAAGGGTAAATAATGCCCATTTTTTTCATTAGAATCATAATCGCTGTTAAGGTCGATCTGCTCCATGCGGCGTTACCTTTCTGAGGTTGAAAACCACTGTCCTCCTCTCGACGATTCAGGACTAAACTTCGACACGGCTGATTTTGCAAAGGTATTTGATACGATTAATTACACGCTCGAAGATGGCGTGTACTCCGGGGAGTACACGCAAAAACTCCCCTTTCGGCAAATAGGATACCTGGGAGTACACACACCTACTCGCTCCTTTTGGTAATAATTTTTACTCCCGGGAGTACACACGCCTATTCGCTCCTTTTGGTCATTAGTCTCCTTTTTCCTTAGGCGAATCGGCACTATTGAACTATTCCTACCTCAATCGGCCGAAATCAGGCCGGTTTTTCGCTGACCTTTTTCTACAGAGGCAGATTTTGGCTGAAAATTTGCTCGTAGGGATACCTGAACACGAATATAACATCCGCTTCGCCCGAAACTGCCTTTCGCTCGCGCCACAGGCGCCGGCGCCAAATACCTGAAACCACCTAATTCGTTCTTTGGGGTAGTTTGATTATTACATCCGCTTGGGCCAAGACCGCCTGGCGCCCGCGCCACAGGCGCCGGCGCCAAAACACCCTAAACCACCAAAATCGATGAAAACTTGTGTACGGGGGTTATTTGACATCCTGTTTACGAATATGACATTTATTCTTGGCGCCGGCGCTAACGTAGGACACTATGGTCATCTGCGCTTTGCTAAGACTGAGCCTGGCCTGAAGGGAATCACTCCTTTTCCCAGGTTCAGCCTCAGCAGAACGCTAAATGGCGCTGGTATGGAGAAATAAATGCCATACTCACGATCAGGGCATCAAACAACCCTATTACACAAGTTTTTATCGATTTTGGGAAGAAAAGGTGTGGCGCCAAATGGCGCCAGCGTCAGAAATTAGTGCCATATTCGTGATCAGGGTGTCAGTTAACCCCGTATACAAGTTTGCATCAAATTTGGTCAGAAAAGAAGAGAAGGAGAAAAGTGCTGGCGCCATGTTGGCGCCAGCGCCAGAAATGAATGTCATATTCGTAATCAGACATCGAATAACATCTATAGACAAAGTTTCAGCGAAAAATTTTTTGAGTTTTTGGGGTAGGAATAGTTCAATGGTGCCGGCGAATCGTGAACTCTCGGGGGTACACGCGCCTCTTCGCTCGTTTTCTTGTGATTTCCAGCACATTTCTAAAAGGACCTGATAATAGTAGTGAATATGAACATAAATATCACCACCAGACTTATTGTGTATTTTTTAAAGGAAGTTGACTCGGTGAGAAAGTTGATTTGGATTGCTGCGCCATCCGAATCAGCTTCCTCATCAAAACCTACTTTTTTCAGAAGTGGAAGGGGATAACATTCAGAAATGGGAGAAAAACCACAAGAAAACACATGAAAAATGTTTATAGTATTATTTATGTGTTACATGCATTATTTTGTTCATAATTTTGTAAAAATCTTCTCCATCCGCTTCCAATGAACCCCAAAACGTACAAAGTGTCCACCAAGAAATTGCATGAAAACGTGACCAAAAAGAAATGTAAAAAAATTGTCAAAGAAATCGACACATGGGAGGTTCTGCTGAAATCGGCCACGGTCGCCTGCCGCGAACGCGCCGCCCGACAAACGAGAGTTTTTGGCGAAACGGCTGCCGCCGCACTGTTGCTGTTAAGGTGAGTGTAACGCTTTGTTACATACGCACATGGCTCAATCTGAAGTGAACGTACCCTTAGCTCTGAGTATTTTCAGGCATCACTAGAAAAGGGTGTGTGCGTCTAATATGATGGTGAACAGCTGTTGAGCTATGAACCTGTGTTCAAGCTTTTAAAAACAACTGGAACATTAAAATGTTAACTGAATGTAATTTTCACAGAAGACTTCGTGGCATAAACATTAGTACAATAGTACCAAACATGTCGGCGCCTTTGTTCAGCTGCTTTGTGAAAAGCGTTTTGGGATGTCAACATGATTTTGGATCATGCCATGCCATTTTTTTATTGATGGACCTAACATTTCGCCATATCGTAGTCCCCAACAGGATTAGAGTAGCTGGCAATATTGATTGGTTGCTCTCTGAACTGTGAAACGTCTCTTGACCGTAGCTTCCCCGGCGGAGCGCTAGGAAATTTGCACTGGGTAGCTTTAGATCAAAGGGGTCTTTTTCGAGGTAGCAGTGAGAAGGAACGCCCTAATGAAGGACCGGCTCGTATTTTGGCTCTAACCTACCCTGCTCTGTGTTGTCTGTTTTGACTTCAAGGCAATCATGATTCCTGGGCAGGTAAGCAGAAGTATTCGTATATGGTTTGTGTTATGTTTCTCGGTCACCGGTCTATCGGTTTCGTTGCCGCCTCGAACTCTTTCCACCTGAAAAACCCTTTTTTCGCAGTGAACAAGGCTGTATCTTCAACCCATGACGGTCGCGGCTCCCTAGTCACTCTCTACGGAGTCGCGGAAGTGGACAGTGCCTGAAATTGCGGGCATGACTGGGCAAGGCAGGAATCCCATAAAGTGGTGGGCGCGAGGTTTGCCTTTAGAGGCACTGGCGCGATGACTTGGGTGGGCTATTCTCGCGAACGTAACTGGTGGGAGAGCTGAGTGGGGGGTGGTTGGCCAAATGCTTTCTCGTATCCCTTCCACCAATGACACTGGCAACAACCGCCCGCTTCCAGCAATTATGCTCACTGCCTTCAAACCGAAGCGGGATCGTGAAGGTGGAAGCGTGCCGAGCTTGCTCTCAGGAAGCGAGAAGGCGGGAGGGGGGGAGTACAAAGAAAATGCTACAGGCATTCTTAGGCACATTTGCTGTCCATTTCACGTATTCCTGTTCTAATATTCGTCCTAGTAACTAAAACGACTGAGAATTTGAGAACACTTCGTTGTTATTTCGCTTTTCAGCCTAACACCGATCTGAACAAGCTTTTCGTGATGATGGCCGGAAATCTCGGAAATTATGACTACATCAAGAATCGTATAACACAGTTCTGGCCAAGCTGGATTGATGCACTGCATGCGACCCTTCGTGACTATCCAAAATCAACATCAAATCGGAAAAAATTGAATGTATGGTGGACTCCTACGTTATTTTTTGAATATATCCGTTACAGTAGCCGTTCCATCTTACATTTTACAGATACTGATCCATTTGGGGCTACTCGCGGAGGCAAACTTGACTATGTCGTGAAAAAATCCCGTAATGGGGAGACACGTTATGCGAGAAACTGTTTGCCAGTCGGTCGGACCTCATCGACATGTTGTTTCGGCTGTCTAGGGCCACAATTGTACATTATCTAATGATAAGGCTTCCCTTATTCCGGTGAGTGTCTTATGTTCACTCGTATAGTTATAGCGTACCTCTTTGATGAAGAGTATTTCGACCGACTTTCTTTCTCCTGGGACAGCAACTCTTGGCCACAAAGTGTTGCTCTCACGGGGTACTTTGACCATCCTGATATGTATATTCGTACGTGGCCTAACTTTCCGTGCTCAGAGCCTTTGCAGTACCCTAAATCACCGAGACTTCGCTGAAAATCTGGTGCAGGGTACTGTTGACCTCCTGAACACAAATATCACATCCGCTCGGCCCGAAACCTTCCTGGCGCCTGCGCCACCAAAATACCCCAAATCACCGGTGCCTGTGGCGTGGGCGCCAGGAAAATGTTGTTCAGGAGGTCAAACTACCCGAGGGGACAAATATTCAGTCAATTCTGCCTACGCTGAAAAAGTCGGTCAATAACTGGCTAGATTTCGGATGATTAGAGCAGTAAAGGGTAACTAGTGCCCATTTTTTCTGTATTCAAAACAGTTTTGAATTCGTAATCAGAGAAGGGGTTGGGGATGAGTAAGATCGCACTTGACTGATCCACAGAACTTTTGGATTTCTAGTTTCTATTCGGAGATACACTTAGCTATTATACGAAAGATGGAATACTGTATAGGGTGCTCGCAATCAATCGCGCGTTCTCACAGCTCGAAAGTCCGTGACAAAAGCGCTAGAAACTCGCGGTGACCTGAAACCCTGCACCTTTGGGACACAGTTGGACATAGACTGCGTTTGAAGTCGCTAAGAGCTGGTGATAACCTGAATTTCGCTTTCTCGCCCAAACCAGGAACACGTGCTCCTAACTGCGTGGCGTTCCGATCGATTTTCTCGCCATATTTGGTTTTGCGGATGTGTGGCTTTCACCGTATTTTGCTTGGTAATTCTTCAGCGTGTTGAGCGTCTCTGTGTTTCTACTAATCAGGTGCTCGTTGTTATCGTCTGATTCTGAGGTAGAGTCCACTCTTTCTAATGTTGTGCCCTCGATCTCTGCAAGATTTCTCTTCATCATGTCCCCATCTTTTCCTTGGGTTTTGAATATACGCATAACCCACCCGCATAACCATCATCGTAGTAACCATGCTCCAGTTACAATGAATGGTTTCGCTGACGCTAAGTATTATATGCGGAATAGTCAGTTTTTGTCTTTTGATTCTAGACTACCTTCCTATTCTAGTTGCACACATACAGAACAGTTAAAGACAGCCCCCGCGCTCAAGTAGTACATGGTCGTCCTTCCTTGTGCAGGTAGTTCAGCCCCCAAGCTAGATACTATCCCACTCTCGCGACTCCACAGTGAGCGAGGAGCGAGCTACAGCCTTCAG